AATATATTATGGGAGTTACCATACTGGAAGGATCTTCTTTTATGTCACGACCTCGATGTGATGAATATAGGTAAGAAATTTATTGAAAATATCATGAATACAATACTAAATATCCAAGGGAAGACAAAAGACAATAAAAAATCAAGGTTAGGCTTATCAGATATTTGTTCAAGAAGTGAGCTAAATATCAAGAGCATTGGAAAGGCTTCATTTCCCATATTCGGTTTGTCGATGTTTTTCAACTGGGTGGCATCAGAAGTGAAGGTTCCTGATGGTTACGTTTCAAATATCTCTAAATGTGTTGAACAAGGTCAAAAGTTCTTGAATGTCATGGAACATCGCGTAGTCCACCTTCCTTACGATGCATTTCTTGGTGAATCTGTCCAAGGCTTAATGGATGTGTGTTTTCTTTGATTATGATACATGTTAAGGGAATAAGAGATCTAATTGGGGTTTAGGGTTTAAGGGAAAATGGGACAAAGAGGATAATGAGATATAGGGAATGATGTTAAGGAAAATATGTACAAGCTTTATGGTTTTGGACTTTGATTTTAGGGATTCAGATTTATTCCTTGTCAATTCGTCATAATGCAAAAAATGGTTTAGATAATTTTTTTTTTTTAAAACACAGTTTCCTAGTAAATTCGTCATAATGGAGGTCCTAGTAAATTCGTCATAAGGGATCCTAGTAAATCGTCGTAAAAGGAAAATGCAAGACCTGGTACATTCCTCGTAATAGCAAAACAAGAGACATGATACATTCCTCGTAAAGTTACTAGGACATAACAATGAGTCTATTTTTCCTATAAAAACTTCCACCATTTCGACCCCTAATCCTTGTCTCTTCCTCTCAACCTCCTTTTCCTCTCCATTCGTAAAGGTAAGTTCTTTTTTTTATATAATATAGTTTAGGTGGTTATTTAGGTAACATAACTAAATTATGTTATGAAATTCAGAGATTACATATCTATATTTAAACTAATTAGATTTTTTGTTTTAAATTTAGATGTCTCCCAAGGAACATAAGAAAAGACCATATTACATAGAGATGACACATGCAATGTTGGGATATCTGCTTCAGTCCCATTATCTTCTACGGATCCAGACTCAGTCCCCGTCTCTGAAAGAGTTTCCCGGACGCCTCCTTCTCCTGCACCTCAGATGCCCCTTCAAATGCCCCCTCCGATGCGTCCTCCTGCTCCATATGGTGTGAAACCTGTTGCTCCAGATGCTTCTCCTCCTGTCCCTGCATCTGGAGTTCATCCGGATTTGCTGGCGCAGCCATTTTCACCTTACGATTGATATACAGTCAAGGATCTTCTTGCCCAGCCTGAACGTGAATGTTTAGATATCTTGGACCCCGCTTGACCGCCGGGAACTTTATGATACATATTTTTCTCTAATACTTTTAGAATTTAATCATATAAAATAATATTGTTTTTAATAAGTTACTATTATTTTTAGGTCGGACATAACGTTTCTGTCACCTTTAAAAAGTATTTCATCGAGCCCCACCCAAACTGCACTTTGACACCGGAACACGAACACGTTAAGACGACGTGGTTTAAATGTTTTGTGGTTATTTTTTTTTCTAACTTTTTATTTTTTATAATTAATTATATATCTTATTTAAAAAAAATCGTTTGTCTCAGAAAAAGTGGAATTGGTCCATAACGATCAACGTGAGGGTGAAGGCGGAGTTTGTTGTGAAAGCAAAGACCCGCCTAACCAACATTGTCTCAGGCTGGAAGGAACAATGGGATTTCAATGGTAATGAGGCGAAACCCAACAGCCTCACGAAGTAAGTATGGGATGGGCTCATCGCCTATTGGACGAAGCCCCACTCAATCCGTGTCGCCTCTCAGTGCTATGCTTTCCGTAGGACGAGGGATGCACATGGTAATTTGTCGAAGCTTCATACTACTGGGAAAAAATCCCACGGTGGGATCCGTCTATATCTTATAAGTGTCTTTACTTATCAGTCTCTAATTTAACTCTTTTATTCTACTATTTAATAATACTTTTACTTCAATCTATTTTTTAGGCTGAGTAGACATGAGTCGAAATTTTCAAGTTTGCTCACCAGATATCAAGTTGTACTTTTGTATACTAAGACGTGGCTGTTCGGATTGAAGAGCGGGAGACGCAGCTGACCCAACAATTTACATATGGATTATCCGTCACATTGTCTAGACATAGAAGATCGACAAGATCTTCAAAGATGTAATTTATTTATTTTATATATTTAATTTTTAGTAGATTTTCATATAATTTAAATTAATGTTTCTTTCTTTATTATTAAAGTGGTCCCACAAAAAAAAGGACGGACAATGAAAATAAGGTTCCTCAACAATGTCCCAAGTTTCCCTTGGTTTCCTCCAGAGATTCTTCTCGACGCTATGGTGGTTGGAATCCCGAAAATGCAGAGAGCGTTGTAGATGAGACACTACATGAACTTGAGAGTCCACATCATCCTCTACATCAACAATTACCAACATTCACTGAAAATAATAAATATTTATTATTTTAATCAAATTTGAAAAATTGCTAAACAGTAAATATGAACTTTGTTTAAGTATATTGACTATTAAGATTATTGAGGACTTATGTGAGATTAGGTGTTAGCGAATTATTTTCGTATTGAATATATATCTATATTAGACTTCTTAAGTTTTAGTTTTAGTTAAAAATTATTTGCTAAATTATATAAATTAGATTTACAAAAAAAAAACTAAGAATCTTATGAACGTCCACCTTATTATATTTTACAGCAGGTATACATTAGTATAGATCAAACTGGAGCAATTTAGACCGATTTGAACCGCTTTAATTGAATTTTGTGAAAATTGTTTGACTATGACAATATTTGAACCGCTTTAATTGAATTTAGAACATTGATTTAATTAATATTTCATATGAGACACAAAGATCGATGTTTTTATATTTTATAATTTTTTATAATTATAGTATTTATCACAGAAAAACCTTAAGATTTAAAATAATATTCATATTATAATTCTATTGATAAACTAAAAGTTATATATTTAACTTAGTTACTTTAAACATTGGTTTAAAAAATTTAAAACTGATAACTGATTGTAATTTAACACTTAAGAACTAACTCTAATTATTTGAAGAATTACTGAAAAAAGTTAATATTATTTCATTTCTCCATTAATATCTTTATGTAGACTATTTGTCTTTCAAATTATGAAATTTAAAGGTTGTGGTACCTTTTAAGTTAAAAGAGAAAAATTACAATATTTGAGACATGACACGTGTCTTCATGAGAATGAGTTTTGAGAGTCCATAGAAAAATAAGTTGGTACATCTAAATATAAACTATAACTTTTACTAAACTAACCATAAAATGTCTTATTAATATAAAAAATCATTCTCCACTTTTTCCTTAAATAAAAAACGGAATTACTTAATGTGAATAGAATATGTATTGCAATAATGATTTTTATTAATAAAGATTTATTAACAATTTGTATACCCTCTATTATTTCTATTTAAAACTTTGTTATTAAAATAAATTATACAATTACAATAATCATATAATGAAAATTTAAAATTTTTCGTATATGTTCTATTTTGAATTTTTGAACACGTGTATAAATTACTAAACTGTTAAAAGTCTTACATAAATTTTTGTCATCAATGATTTAAATATTTTGTTATAATAAGATATAAATGATTAGAAAACCACATGAGTAACAAGTCTTATTTAATAGGTGTTTCTATATATATATATATATATATATATATATATGTTCTATCATTTAAACTAAACTATATACCATATAAAATAAGTACTTATATTTAAATATTTGCATTGAACAAATATTGAGAACTTAACGTTTTTATTTTGAAATTTTCATTGAATTATTAAAAATGATTATAAATTGCTAAAACTATTAAACATCCAACATTAAAAAGTTTAGCAAGGGTTTAAATTTTTTTATAAAAGGATGCTGTTAATCATAAAACCCAAATGATTTGAAAGTTCATTTAATAAATAGCCATATTAAAATATATTATCTATCTAAAATAGCCATATTAAAAGGATCACTGATAATAGTTATTAATGATGGTTAAAAAATATATTAAAATAATCATACTGAATGATCGTTAATAAATAAGAGTAATCATTTGATTTATTTGTGCATACCAATTTAATCATATACATAATAGTTACTAATTTTTAGTTATTTAATATATATTTATTATCTTATTATTTCATAATATGTAAATAATAAAAAAATAAGTAATAACTAGATCTTTACCCGCGCAACCGTGCGGGTATTACTTTCAATTTTATATACATATGTTACTTATTTTATGAATACATATTTTTAACGTTGAACATATATTTAAATGTTTATATAAATGTATTGTTAGTTTTAAGATGTTCTTATGTATTAAGAGAATGAAAATAGAAATTAAATATGGTTGTTAAGATTTTATTATACAAATACAAAAAATAAGGTTACAATTTTTCTAAGGAAGTGTCCATTTTTAAAATATCACACATGAAGAAAAGTTGTGACTTCTCTTTTAATATAATAGATGTCCAAGTATAATTTGTTTATTTTGCGTAAGACACATATCTTAACTTAGTAAGTAATTACAAGAAAACAAAAAGATTATTCCCCACTAAGTCTGTTCACCCTACCCTACATTAGTATTTCCACCCCTTTGTAAATACTGACATACACATGACATAACACGTCAACAATAGAAACATGAACTTACGTCTACACATGATCAACTTCGATTTAAACATTGAACATAAGTTTATGAAATTATTTAATTCCATAAAGATACTTTAATGGATGATACATCTAACTTTTTTTTTTGAAACATTTCTACATCTAACATTTAAATAATAATATCTTCCTTTTCCGAAGCTAGTTATAGACTCCCACGATCATTATAAATGATCACATAGGCTGCTATTCTGGTAGAGCAAAAAAAAAAAATCGTTATCATCATCAATGGCAGAGAATAAGGTCAACCTGTCGATCAATGGACAATCAAAAGTACCACCAGGTTTCAGATTCCATCCAACTGAAGAAGAACTTCTCCATTACTATCTTCGCAAGAAGGTTCACTCTCAAAAGATAGATCTTGATGTCATTCGTGAAGTAGATCTCAACAAGCTTGAGCCTTGGGATATTCAAGGTTCTAACAATAAACCCTACCTCTAATATAAAAATACATAAAATTTTCATTTCTATCAGGTCTCTATTATTGAACAATTTTGGTAAGCAAACGCAGAAGAATGTAGAATCGGTTCAACGCCGCAGAACGACTGGTACTTCTTCAGTCACAAGGACAAGAAATATCCAACGGGGACCAGGACAAACCGGGCAACAGTTGCCGGATTCTGGAAGGCTACCGGACGTGATAAGATCATCTATAGTTGTGTTAGGAGGATTGGATTGAGAAAGACGCTCGTGTTCTACAAAGGAAGAGCTCCCCACGGTCAGAAGTCTGACTGGATCATGCATGAGTATCGCCTCGACGAGACTCCAACAACTAATGTAAGTATAGCTATCATCAATATTCATTGTAGGTATTTAACATTATACCCAGAAAAAAAAATTCATTGTAGGTTGTAACAGACAGATAGTCCAGAGTACGCATTATATTCGTTTCACTAACAAGGATGAGAAACGTAAGAAACAGTTTTGGCTTATTTCAATAGGGGTTTAACGCGGTTTAACAGAGAAAATATCCGCAAATCTATAAACAATGTTTTGTTTCTTTTTTTTCAAAATATTTTTGCTCTTAAGATTTTATCGAATTTTCACTTTTTATCATTAATCACTTGCTAACATAGAAATAACCAAGTAAGTTTTGGTTAGGATACTAAACTTTCTTCATTAAGCTTCTACTGTTCTACAATGGAAATGGTTCCTAAAAGCTAGAAAATTTAAATCCTTTTTCCATCTCTTGGAAGTAAGACGTAGAGGCCAGATGTTTATGGATTTACTTGCAGGCACGGCATGCATGTTCATTGTTTTCGTTTTATAATGACCCAACAACTTGAACAAGTTGTTTTTAAGGCGTCAAAGTCTTCACAAATCTCTTATTGTATTTTAATTTTTGTGATTGTCACATGCATCCAGTATCAGGAAAATTCAGATGTTGTAACTGAAGATCCAATGAGCTACAACGAGGAAGGTTGGGTGGTATGTCGAGTGTTCAGGAAGAAAAACTATCAAAAGATCGAGAACTCTCCTAAAATCACTCTATCGTCTTCACCTGATGATACTGAGAAAAATAGAAGGTCCTTCACTTCTCACAACACTCAAAACGGCTTGGACCACGTTCTATATATGGACCGTTCCTGTCCCAACATCTGCATGCCCGATATCCAAACTACGATCGAGACTCAACAGAATCAAGACGATATTTTATTCATGCAACTCCCAAGTCTTGAGACACCCAAATCCGAAGACCTGATCGACCAAAGTTTAACGATTCCGAACCAGCTCGATTCCTCTCTGGTTCAAGAAAAGAAAACCAGCAGACCAGTTTGCAGTAATTGGGCTAGTCTTGACCGGCTAGTGGCGTGGCAGTTGAACAACGGTCATCATAAGTGTGAGCGTACTAGTTTTGATGAAGAAGAGGAAGATGTTGATACCATGATGCAGCGATGGGATCTTCACTGGAGTAATGATGATCATGTCGATCTTTGGAGTAGTTTTACTGAATCTTCTTCATCCCCTTCGTCTTTAGATCCTCTTCTTCATTTATCTGTATGATTGTATGTATATTCACGTAAACACACATATACACAATACAATAAAAAAAAATATAAACCAGGCCTCGTGGTCTGGTGGTAAAGGAACCTTGGCTGAGGTGCCCGCCATCACGAGTTCGAGTCCCGGCCACAGCGGATTTAACATGGTTTCCGTTTGGCCTTCAGGATCCCTTCGGGGGATAGTCGGGTCTCTAAATAAGCCCCGGACACCTGAGTTATCAAAAAAAAAAAAAAAAAAAAATTAAAAAAAATATACTCGTATTTCTTGTTTTAATAAATTACGTTTGTTAGTTGATCAAAAAAAAATTAAGTTTGTTAAATAATGTCTGAGGTCTCACATACAATGATATCACGTCTAGATTTGAGGTTGATAAAATCTAAACTATTAAAACAGGAGTACAAATAAAAGTTAACCCTGACTTTTTCTAAATAATTACAATCTTCTGCTATTGCCTAAACCATCCATAATTACTTAAAACAAACCGCCTAAACTTTTGTCAATAATCAAACCAAACATCACGATTAAACCTAACCATTTTAACAATTTGAAGTCTTTTATCATCGTCGTCTTCTCCTCAGAACAAGGATGTCTGGAAACTCTGGAAGATAAACTTTTTTTTTGTTGTGAAAAACTGGAAGATAAACTTCGGAATCAAGAACGAGGTGGTGCTTTTCTCCGACGATTCACGGAGACACTATGACTTTAATTCGATTTGAGAGATAAGCATGTGGGATTTGGAGTCAGATCAAAGCTAGGGTACTGAATTCTGTGGAATGAGACGCTTTCATCAAATTCCATTCTTAAATCGGTTTGTGGATCAAGCTTTTGGTAATTCCAGTTAAATTTATTCAAATTTTTGTAATTTGCTAATCTCTTTTCCGCTTTTTTTTCGAACATGAAACTTGATTGGTTGGAATTCTGGTCGGAGACGGGACAAAGTAACATTTAAATAGCAAAGGGGTTTGTCTAAAAAGTTAATTTGCAGATTTTCATATTGGTTTTGTAAATTTACTTGAATCCTTCGGAGGAGAAGGGTTTGATGAAGAAACTAGCTCATGGTTCTTCAAACAAAGCAGATGTCTACTCTTCTTGAAGGTGAAAATATAAATGTTTATTACTAAGCTTTAGCATAAGAAACTGAATGTTTTACTTATTTTTTGTAAATCTAATGTTTGTTTCTGGATAGCAGGTGTATAATGATAAAGCTGATACTTTTAATCATCAGTCTTGAGAATGTTGAAATGTGAACACTCTGGGTGTTGACATTGTCTATAGGTACTTAATAATCGTTTCTAGACGGTTTAAGTTCCTAATGATGTCAAGAGTTTCTCTTTGGATTTTTTTTCTATTAGTAACCTCTTGAGATGAGTATGTATAGGTGATTCTTTCTTCTTGGTTTTTTGTGAGTTTAACAGGTTCAAAACAAAAAGATCGAAAAAATTTGTGATATAAATTCAGATCCATCAAGTATATTTGGATATGTGAATGGAGAAGTGCCTGAAGCGAAATTCTCATTTCCAGCAGGAGGCATCTCAACACTACGATTGCCATCGGTAGCCGTACTCTGAACAACTCGAAGATGGGAGCTTGCAGGTTCTAACCTTGGTAATATCTTTGGCGTTATAAAATCATCTAAGCAGATTGACACTGCTATAGTTTGTGACGAAGATGAAGTAGATTTTAGAGGTGATAGTAGAATTGCAAAGCATAGCTGTGAGTAAGCTTGTGAAGTCAAAGACCATGTCAAAGCAAAGACAATGTCTTCCACTATATTCTGTTGGATATGAGTTGTTGCAGGTCATTAAAGAAAATCAGGTCATAATAGTTGTAAGTGAAACTGGCTTGCCAAAGATGACTCAGCTTATGCAGTAATTTCACGACGATGGCTACCCTATAAACGGTACACTAGGTTGCACAACCAAGACGTGTATCAGCAATCAGTGGTGCAAGCGAATAAGTGAAAAGATGCAAACAAATCTGGCAGAGAAAGTTGGGTGCTATTCGTCTCAAAAATGTAACTGGAGTTGGGTCGCAGCTAGACATATTAAGTTTCATTCTTTACAAAAAATATTGGAATTCTTACTTATAACCATATTCCTAAGTAAACCATTGCAATAACTTCACACTTTAGAATTTAAATATGTTTGCATGCTATGTTTTCAGGTTAAAATTAAGGTGGCAAAATATTAGATTTATGAAAATGTGCTAACATTAAATGTACAAAAAATTCCATTTGATTACTAAATAAAATATTAAGATATTTGAAAATAAGTTTTTTTTTCTTTGTAATCTATTCAGTTGAGCAAGTATTTTGGTTAGTTAGTATTTTGTTTCGAAAATGAATTTTTGTAAAAACATTAGACGCTAATATAAATACAAACCATCTTTTACAAAATATGTCAAATAATTCTCATATCAATATCATTCACAAAATTTTATTTAAATTGTAAAGATACACAAAGAAAATTCATAATTAATTACTGAAATTTATATAATATTCTATACTAATTAAATTTTAAAGTGTGCAAAAAAATCATTCTCAACATTTATACTATCTTAATTCTAATACTATTTTTTTTTAAAGTTTTGTATGTTTCTAATTTAGTTTGCATATAAAGTAAACTGAGAGACATATAAATTCTAAATATATAAAAATTAATTTCCATAAAATATTTTTTTTTGAAAAATAAATGTATATACACAAGCATATTAAATGGCTAAATTGGTAAACAAATACAATATAAAAATGTCCCACATCATCAAAATGAAAAAAAAAAAACTGTAACCATAGTATAATATAAATAATCAACACATATGCAAACATTTATAATCTATGTATAGTATAAATCATAAATATTATCTATAACAAATTAAAAAACACCCGTACGGACGCACGGGTCAAACTCTATTCTGCTATTAAATGACTAAGAATACTGAGAAAGTATCATTGTCGTTTTTTGACGATTGACATGTTTAATAAATGGAGTGATATTTGTTCCGACTTAGATGACAATGTGTATCAAATAATAACAGGGTAATAAGATTCTCGATTCGCTATAATTATTTCAACTTTTGGCCCGACTGTGTTACCTTTTGGTTTTCGTTGGAGATTCTTCGTGCTATACGACAATTTACTCTTTTTTTTTTTTTTTGTAAGTACGAAAATCTACTTACCACATCATATATCTAGCGTGATTAGTTGAAATTTATCTTCTTACTCTAGTTTCATTTATTTATAAATCATTAAGTTTTATCAATTATGTTGTAACTTTATTTTTAAAAGTTAAAATCTATATCAAATTTCTATAAATTTTTACCAATTATACTTCAGTTTTATTTGTAAAACTTCAATAAAAAACTAAAGGAAAATTTTTATGTATTTCAAACCAAAAAACCTAAAGCTTTCTTTTATAAACTGTAGAATCTGTAAAATAAGAATAACGATCTATAATATCAAATAAATTAAATAATCATTATTAAAAACATGTATAAATATTTAATTTAATTTTGGGTGTTTTAAAAATTACTGAAATATTTCAAAAACATAAATGTTATTTACATATCACGTTTTAAATAATAGTAAACTTTGATAATGTAGAAAAAATATTAATATAAATATTTAATTGATAAAAATATATATTTTATATATATAGATCACATATTTCACATAGTTTAGTTGAAAATATCTACAACTTATAAGTTACATGTACAATAAATTTAATTACAGCAAAAGTCTTTCTAAACAACTTTACAACAATAACCAATTTACGTATATCTAAACTTTTACAACTAAACTTTTAGAGCCACACTCGAACCAATCATCATCGTAACTCTTAGACGTTTCTTATTTTCGCCTTGTAAATAACACAAACATAAGTTGATCAAAGTATTAAACCATTTTTTGTTTGGTTGTTGTAGTAGACATCTCGTTTCATAATTTATTGATTGTGTTGAACCACAACGAAAGTAGTTTGCTCTGATAACACTTAAGTTGAACCTCAAAGGTGGCAAAATAGTCAAACACACAAACTCGCTGATATACTCTCTGATGAACTCGACGACGTAAATAAGAAAATTTGAGTTTGTAGAATTATGGAGAAAAAAGAAGAATGCAGAAAACACAAGTATTTGTTTACCCAAGGTTCACATAGAATGGCTACATCTCTGGGACCTAGCAAGGAGGCAATTCACTATAGTCTTAAGTACAAAGATTTAACACCTCTCTCTCTCTCTCTCTCTCTCTCTCTCTCTCTCTCTCTCTCTCTCTCTCTCTCTCTCCCTCTCTCCCTCTC